GTTGGACCTGGTTAAGTATGGCAGAAATATCATGAGGTTCCAAAACAGTCAGAGGGTGGCCAAGAACCAGGTCCCCAGTGCGGTTGATGAGTTCCTGAGCGGCAAAACCAGCTCGGAGGCAAGAGGGGGTTCCTCTAGCCACAATGTCCAGTTGGCAAGAGAAGAAGCCAATAGGCCTTTGGCGGCCGCCAGGTCCATGGGCTTGAGTAAGGACTCCTGTAGCGTGGCCTTGTCTTTTAGACACAAATAATTTGAATGGTTTGGTGTAATCTGGCAAGCCAAGGGCGGGAGCAGAGGCAATAGCACGTTGGAGAGTGTAGAAGTTGTCATGTGCTTCTGAGGACAGACAGAACGGGTCTGATTTAAGAGCATCGTACAAAGGTTGCATGAGTAGAGAGGCCTCTGGGATCCACGCTCGGCAGTAAGAAATGAGGCCTAGAAAGGCCGACACGATCACGGGTGAGGTGTCTGGTGCCATGGGACAGGCAATGGCCTAGAAAGATTACTGTGGCCTGGCAAAATTGAAGTTTGACAAGAGATGCCTTACACCCCTGATCTGCAAGATAACAAAGGAGGTCCAGAGAACATTTTTCTGTCGTGGGGATGTCATCTCCAAGTAAAATGGGAAGGGAACAAAGAACTGTAGTGTCTTTTCGTGACAAAGGTGTATTTAATTGAACCTGGCCGTCTGCAGTGAGGGTGATGGATGCTTGGAGGCGGGATAGGACATCAGCACCCAAGAGGTTAATGGGACATGGACAGGTTACTGCGGGAAATACCATCAACACCAACACAAGAGACATCGGTGTCAGACAGGAACGATGAGTCAGGCAGGTCTTGTTCTCTAAGAACACTGCGAGCTGCACCTGTGTCAACCAGGAAAGTAGTAGGGTGACCTTCAATAGGTAAAGTTACAGTGGCTAGTGGCCCCCCTTGTTCCCTGTAGACACTGCCATGGCAGGGACATTAAGCATCAGTGGGTTCTATCATTATAAATAATGGTTAATAGTAAGTGAAGTAAAGTTCCTAAATGTCTTTGGATAAAACATTAACTATTGCGGTACTATCATTTATATTAATTAGGCCATAACAATTATACCACCCTGTAACTAAAATGAATAACCAGTAGTGGCTGGGTTAATAAAACATGTCACAAACCCTTCTAATGCTAAACCATCATTTAACGTAAAGGATGTTACTGTAAACATACGATCTGTAACTAGCAAGATTCGATTAAGCAAAGATACAATGTTTAAAATAACTTGCATTATTTGGCTATTTCCCTTGTTGCAAGATTAATCTGGATAATCAGCTGTTATGCTCTTATATTCGTGTCCAACAGATCTCATTTGTAGGTCACACCACAGTTGCAAATTACATTTTAGCAACCTTTTTGTTTTTTTGTTTTTTATCACGGACACATTTCTGATACAGGGAAACAAATGGCATGATTGTGTTAGTAATTATAATGTTTCTGTTCATAATATGTAGAGTGTAAGGAAAACAACATGTCTCTAAATAGGACGAGCATAATAGGGGTAGGCCTCATGATGGAGGCAGCCATGACAGGGGCGGGGAAGGAAATGACAGCAAGGGAGGAAGTGAGAGGGGTGACGTCCATGATATGTGTGGGAAAGGAAGACAGGAGGTGTGGGCATGGTAAGGGCGGAAGTGACGTCACTTTAGAAGCAACCGTGACTGTAGATAGGTCACGGGACTGGCAGGGTCAACCTCCTTCTCTACTAGGCGCCATCTTTAGGGTGGTGGCTGACGCACTTTCAACAATACACTATATTATAACTAATAAAATAAGTCAGAGAAGCAACATTCCGTTCTGCAAAATGAAATACTAAACTATGAACAGACCTGGCAGGTTAAATAAGACAGTTGAAAACATTATGCATTCAACGACCCATACAGCTGTTTCTAGAAACATGTACTTTAAAATAACATAAAGGAAAATAAACTCACGGAATTCAACCAATTTCCCTTATCATCCTCCAAGCATTAATCACTTTCCTCTTCACATACTAACTTAACTTCGCATATTCCCTCTATCCACATTGCATAGTTTTGCAACAAATCACGCTTGCCTTTACACTTAACACGTCCAAATATTCCTCTATTCTTGTATCAGATTCACTTACCTAACCTCCGTAATCAACACTGAGCTACATTCTTGTGTCTCCCCCACAATCCTCACTACTTTATCACAAAACACAATTTATATATATATATAGCACCGTGGAATCTGCCGGCGCCATGCAAACGGCAACAATAATAATATTATTACACAATTATAACACCATAACCTTTGAATTAGAATATTTTCCAGCAAAAATCCCGTCTCTAACTCTTATCAGTAGCTCCGAAATGCAGAAATGTAGGCAAGCGGGGAGGAGGGGGGGGGGGAGAAAGTGAGACAGTGCAAAAAGGGAGAGAAACTGCAGGCATGAAGGTTAACCATGTGAGTGCTGTGAAGTAACAAGACAGAAGGACAGAGACTTATACGTTTGGAAACCAGAAATCTTTGACGGGAGAAACGGACTGGAGGTGCAGGGAGCTGCAGAGAGAGGATGAGGGTGACGAGATCTGTAGGACTGATGGGGGGGAGAATAGGGATCCATCAGCATTCAGGACTGGGCAAACAGGGGTGGTGGTAGGGTGGGGACCATGGTCAGCTACATTTCGGTCATTGCTGACGCGATGTTGGGAGTGGTCACCTCCTGGGCGCCATCATAGGGCGCATTCAGGACTGGGAGGACTTCCCAGTAACACAATTATTATAATACACAAACAATCTTAAACCTTTGTGATAAATTTCTTCCTCAACCTATCCCTTTTGCTGAATAGCTCTTATTACTCGGTACCAGGCTTCTGCTGTACGAACCAAATCGTGGTCCGACAGCTTCCCTTTCTTCTCTGTCAGTAACTTACGCCAGCTCTCTGGCTGCAATCTGCCGCACGGAGGTACAGTAATTCCACATACTTTAGCAATCTTCCTCACTTTCTTAACCATCTCTTCTCCTTCTCTGTCTTCCACTAGATCACATGCTAACCAAGCCTTACTGGGTTTATCTAACTTCTGTCCCATCCTCCCTATATAAGGCGTCCCAGATATAGAGAAAGAGAGAAAAGAAGGTCTACAGTGCTCGACTGCTACGTAAGAGTGGGTTCCTACGTACGTCTTCCCAAAACGTAGACTAGTCACTAATTCTGCCTACCCGAGGTAGCCGCGGAATTGGAGCGTGGCGAGAAGTGTGTGACCAATCACTTCTCTCAACAAAGAGAAATAAGAGGAGAAAGTGTAAATAGTACAGTGAGTAAGATAAAAGTAAACACAGGAATCTGTGTGACAGACAATTAAGACAATAACATTTCAGTGTAAATACAGTGCATGCATCACAGTTCAAATAAGTTCAACAGTTTTATCCCTTGCCTTTACTCGTGTGGCCGAAGCCACCTCCCTCAACCTCGTAGTGTCCCCACTCGGAGAATGACTTCCACAAGTCTCACTACCAGCAGCCACAGGAAACAGCAACAGCTTCCAACCCGAATCCTGTATAGCCTAAAGAATTGGAATCTTACCTGCCTCAGCGCTCGAGGCTGGAATTTTACCAAGAAGAAGTGTCCGATGAGGCTAGCTAAGCAGTCAAAGCGACACTATGGGGAACCCCCAGGAAGCAGTGAGTCTACACCACCCTCCACAGATTCCCCCTACTCTTTTTCCTTACAGCCACAGCTACGTGGCTCCTAAAAGAGTTAAACAGGCAATAGAGGACCCCCAGGAAAACTTCCACAGGTCCACCCCCCTTTTTCCTTACTACCACAGCCACGTGGTACCTAAAAGGAGTAAACAGGCACTCACACTCCCCGGGTACTAAGTTAAACACAAACCAATACAAACACACCCAGGCAACAGATAGTCAACATGCAGGTAAACTAGGTATCATTAACAATACAAAGACTCTGGGCAAGTTATTACCTGACTTTGATGTCCTCTCGGCAGCAGTCACAGACACTGGGACAGGTCAATCACAGGGGTAGGAACATACCGGCTAGGTGCTGCAGCAGTCTCCACCGTGTACTCAGAGGTGATCAGGCTCTTTTCCTTCCCCCAGGATTCACCCCCCCGCGTCTTCTTGGACGGCTGCCCAGGCAGGACATAACCCAGAGCCCCACGTTGGAAGCGCCAAATTGTAGTAGATTATTTTCTGCAAACCAATTAGTTTGAATGACTATCTGTTCCTGTCCAAATTAAAGATAATAAAGTTGCGTGCACGCAGAAGTAAATTCACACTGAGACACAGAGTTCAGGTTAATGAAAGAACTTCGGAGAAGTTTAATGGCTTCTAACAGAAAATGGGTGCGCAGACCCTTTTAAAGGCATTTTTACATCATTGAAGAATTCAAGATAACAGCAAATAGACACTATTGATTGGTCCAGGTGTTAAGTGGTTAGTTAGATACCCTCCTATCAAGAGGTGATGTCATCCTTGACACGGGAGTGGACACAAGATGTAGGCGCCATCTTATTAGCACGAGGTGTTCACTCGATGGGAGGGGTGCTTTGGCAGCCATTTTGAGTAGTTAGTATTGTTAGCTTCAAGGTTCTTTTAGTAAATACACATTTTATTATTCAGCTGACACATACTTTATTGAGATCAACATGTCGCTCAGCGGCCACAATGTTTCATTCTTGATGAACACATTGTCCCGCTGATGCACATTTCTTCCTGACAAAGCATTAGCTTAGATAATTTCAAGAATTCTATAATTCTACAACATCTGTGCTAGTGTAAAATAAAAATAAAAATAAAAATTAAAGTTAATGTTACTATAAAATTGTATATGTGTATATATATATATATACATATATATATGATATATAGGAAGGCGGAGCCTGGAGTTGTGGGAGGGGTTGCAACCGGCCTATATAAACTCACTACTTACCTCCATACCTTGCTGACAACGCTTGGTCACTTCCGGTTCCGGTCCAGACGGCGGGAATCAACTATACCAGGTCATCAGCCTTCACAGCAGCAGGATCGCCTTCCGTTAATCAGGCTCGGCGGTAGCAGATACCCTCGTTCACGACGGGCTCGCCGACTGCACACGCCACCAAGAACTTCCGGAGCGCCGGGTCGCACTTCCGGGGTCAAGGGACCGGTAATCGTGAGTACGGGCATACGAACGCTCAAACTCACGAACTAGATACAACATTTCGACACATCTGGGCGAACAGTAATTACACACGAATCCAACAGACAAGGGCAAGGGGAACACATACGAATAGGTCTTAAAATTCCGTGAACGCTTTACATTCGGTTCTAAACACACGAATCCAACCAGGTCTAAATGCATGAATATGGCTTCCATAACACACGAATGACAAACACAAATTACTATACGTTACAACACTCTGTTTTTTTTTTTCTCTTCTTTCTCCCCTTCCTACTCTCACAGTAATACTGCCACCTACAGGCGAATTTAACGTATTGCACTCTATGTATGCAACAGTTCAAAACGAAGTATGATTTCTGTGTATATGTATTAAAGTATAACATAATAATTATATAAGTCGGGTAACTTCATCACCAATACAAAATATTTAAGGAATATCCACAATAATATTTTCTTTAATAAATCGGTTAAGAGAATATTTGACAGAGCATATAAATAAACTAGTAGGCGGGCGTATACGTTTATAGCGGTCTATTCACAACTATAGGTAACTAAATAGACATAAATCACGTATAATTTCGGTGGTAGTAACAATTAAGGGGGAAGGGAAGGGTACCATTGTTTCATATATACGGCATGTGGAAATAGGTACTAAGGTGGATACAATAAGGTGAATTGTATTATCATATCCTTGCAGGTGGGTCTGTTCTAAATTGTCAACACACGAACGACACAGCACAAGGGAGTGCCGGTAACATACGGTACGTTCATTAGGGAAATAAGGAGGCACTTGCGCAAGTCTGCTCGGTACTAGAACATAGTACTAACATTAGATATACTTCAAACCAATATGGGTATCTTATTACGTCTTACCCTCGTAGGTTAAAGGTCATCAAGACCAACGCTGGTCAAAACAAACTCGCCAGAGAAGTAGACCACACACTTCTGAGGAATTTAAATAATAAGATACACTTACGGTCCTGGTACAGGTAATAAAAAAAAAATAAAAAAAAAATATTATATTATTGGTTAGGGGAGGGGGACACCTATTCGGGTGGTTTACTTTTATTATTCTCATCTTAGGCCAAGCATACCTAGCACATACAGCTACAGACGTAACATAAAGACCTAATCATCAGGTACGTATTGATCTATAAGTCATACTTATGACACAATAATAGACACTGGAAATAGTGGTGGAAGGAATATCTATATAAATGTTAAATATATATTCTATTTTCCACGAGATACTTCCTAATTATGCTCATCACAAAGGTATTCACCTTCGGTTTAACTCATAGGTAAATTCACAATACTCAACCAAATATAAGTAGGACCTCACCAAGCATGCCTAGTTCACGGTCATAAGGTTAATAAGGCACCTTCCAGCCACAACGCTTCGGTGGCACAGTCATACGTCCAACGCATAGTTGAGCCCCTATACGGTCCAACAGCTATCAACAATACGTCAGCTACCTCGTTATCTACGACAACTTACTTATAAGTCACGTCAAACCCTTTGTCGTTTATATAGGATGTCTCACGCCTCCGACATAGGAGAAGACGTCTCCCCTCCCTGTACGCCAGCCAGACCACACACCCCTCCATCGGGCCCAACTATAGCCGAAAACCTAGATAGCCCGTGTTCCATGAGGTCATGGACAATTCCAAAAATCGCTGCAGAACTCAGACGTAGGGGTGTACCATATCCGGCCACGGCTAGGAAAGCCGAACTATATAGGATCATGATGACAACCAACGACACCCCGCAACCAGGGACCAGCTCACAAGGAAATATGAACGAGACCATAGCAGGCCTGCAAGCCACCATGACATCTATCCTGGCGTCTATTAGTAACATCAGCCAGAGAATGGACAGGCTGGAAGCTCCTGAGCCAATTATCGTGGCACCTGATATCAGTCTTACACCTGAGATTGAACACATAGCCGCACAGGGTAATGTGACAGGAGCTCCAATCTCACAAAATCCTACTACTCACATTGTCACACCAGCACACTTGGTACCTCCCAACATTAGGAAAGATATTTTAGAGGGGAAAGACGTCAACCTCATTTCCCTACTGATAGCGTCCCAAGACGTAGTAGACAATAAGACCTATAATTATGGGGACTTGTCAGTAGTGATGAAAGCTAGAGACCCCAGACTAAGTAAAAAATTAACCATACCAGAGTTCGTCTTGGCTTTTGGCATATATAGAGACGTTGTATGCACCACTTTTCCCCATCGTAGAGAAGAACTTGATTTGTATTTGCACAAATTGGTGGACCTGGGACACAAGTACGGTGGCCATACGTTCTTTGATTACCACAAATCATTTTCGGCAAAAGCAGCGGCAGCTTTGGTACAATTCAACATAAGAACCGATTGGAGGCACTTAGATACCGAACTTTTCTGCCGCCATTTTGCCGGCCTTATACCACCTTCTTGCGCAATTTGTTCATCAAACACCCACACTACCAATTTGTGCCCAAATGAACCAAGTCTTCCTACTACCAGCTACGCAGTCCCTAGCACCAGTAGCATCGAACAGAGGACATTTAAAGACAAATTAGGTAGGCCAATAGTTTTCCTGGGGAAGGCGCAGATTTGTAACAACTTTAACGCAGGCGGTTGCAGCTTCAGCGCTTGCAGGTTGTTACATGTCTGCACCTTCTGCCATAGAGCCCATGCTAAGACGATGTGTCCTAACCGACTGTTCCCCAAGAAATGACTGACGGAAGTCAATATCGACACACTAGCCTTTTACCTCAGTTCACACCCATCCAGGGACTTAGTACAATTTCTTATCACTGGTTTCACAGAGGGGTTTCACACGGGGTTGGTGGCACTACCATCAGGAACGATTGAGTGCAGGAATTTACAATCTGCCACTACTGACCCAGCAACAGTAGACATCCTGTTGCAAACTGAAGTAGGGAATGGTTTCATGTTAGGGCCATTCACACGGCCACCATTCACTTGTTGGAGAACCAGTCCGATAGGAATTGCATGGGGCAAATACAACAATAAAGCACGATTAATCATTGATTTGTCAGCCCCTCATTCCAGCACCACACCAAGCCTAAATTCACTTATACCATCGCCGGAGTTCTCTTTACAGTATGCCACAGTAGATAATGGCCATACAGGCCATACTGGAAGCAGGGGTAGCAGCTTGGCTCGGGAAAACCGATATTTCAAATGCTTTCAAGCTGCTTCCTTTGCACCCCTCTCTATGGCATCTACATGGGGTAAGGTGGAAAGCTTTATACTACTTTGCCAACCGGCTGACATTTGGGGCCAAAAGTAGCCCCAAATTGTTTGATATTTTTGCTGAGACGCTGTGTTGGCTACTGTTAAATATCTGCTGTTGCCCAGTGGTCATACACTATCTGGACGACTTTCTAACAGTAGAGAAACCTGACACAATACCACACAGCATCAACAAGACAGTCGCATTATTTAAGACTTTAGGGGTACCAGTGGCCGAGAACAAGACAGTGGGCCCCACCACCAAACTAACCTTCCTAGGTATCGAATTAGACTCAACTACCATGAAAGCTAGCCTGCCAGTGGACAAAGTTCAGAGAATCCGGGTAGAGGTTGAGTCATTCCTGGACAAAGGTGTAACGTCAAGGAGGGATCTTCAATCACTCCTGGGTTCAATGAACTTCGCCATGAGGGTTATACCACAGGGACGAGCCTTCATATCACGCCTACTTAGTTTGTTACCCAACTTACCCAACGACGACAGCAGGGTTACTCTGGACATTCAGGCTAGGGCAGACCTGACTATGTGGTACCATTTCCTCTCAGAATGGAATGGGAGGAACTTGTTTATACCACCATTGACATTAAACTCCCCGGTGTTATGGACGGATGCGGCAGGTCATGCAGGTTTTGCAGCCATTTTCGGAAACAGGTGGTTCAGGGACGCGTGGCCTAGCGAAGCATTAGGTTTACCTGCGTTCACAAAAACGTCGGCACTGTTTGAGATCTACCCCATAGTGGCAGCAGCTAAAGTCTGGGGCCACTTATGGGGAGGGAAAGCTGTCAAATGCTACACTGATAACATGGCAGCTTGCGAGATTCTGAACAAAGGCAGGTCCTCTTCACTAACAATTATGAGCCTGGTCAGGAGACTCACATGGTTGGCAGCTACACAAAATTTCTTCCTGACTTGCATACACGTGCCAGGTCACCACAACTCAGCAGCTGACGCACTATCCCGTTCAAAATTACAGGTTTTCAGACAGCTACACCCAACAGCAGAAGAACAGCCAAACAAGGCTCCGCAGTTCAAAGACCTCATCCTGGACTAAAACTACTCATGGCACACGGGAGAGCACTAGCAGAGGCCTCACTTTCACCAAACACTAGACGCACTTACAGTCGAGCCTTAATATTGTTCAATAAATTTGTGACAGAATACCTCATCACGAATCCTTATAGGTTAGATACTATGGTGGCATTCACCTCTTTTTGCCATCTCAACTTAAAACTGGCACACAATACCATAAAACTCTATTTAACTGGAGTACAACATCACGTAAGCAACACATATCCCAGCATAAAAAACTTCCTGTCAGCACACCCCATTAAAAACATGCTAAAAGGCATCCAACGCCTAGAAAACCCAAAACCTACTACACGACTACCAATCGATGCTGAGAAATTCAGGGCATTGTCGGACATGTTAGATACCAAACCTTTCGATAATCCCACTAATAACACACTCAAGACAGCCATATACCTGGCATTTTATGGGTTTATGCGGCCCAACGAGCTCACTTTAAGTAACGTCAACAATAAGGGGAATATGCTGTGTGTATCAGACTTAAACAAAGTAGGTGATCACTACACCTTGTCAGTAAAACATACAAAAACCAATCAAATGGGTCCGCCACTCGACATTCAATTTTACCCGACCGGCAATCATTGGTGTCCCGTACTACTATTTGACAAATACATGGCCGGTATGATTAATCAACCCAAACAAGCTCCTCTGCTCGCAATACACAGTCAACCCCTGACGACCTCGAAATTCATTAAATACGTGAGATTACTATTCACAAGAATTGGGTACGATCCCGCGGCATATACAGGCCACTCCTTTCGCATCGGGGCTGCTACATCAGCCTCCAGTCAAAACATACCAGTTCACATCATTAAAAAGCTAGGACGTTGGAAATCTTCGGCGTACCATCGTTACATACCTCAACCTGAGAAAGAGTTGAGACAAGCTTTTAAACAATTGGCTAAATAAGTGCGGATAATAATGTGCCTGTATACGTATTAAAGTGTGAAATAATTTCTCTTTTTGCCCTCTTTATTTACAGGCCAACCCGTACGTCGTTTTCGGCACACCACAACCGACTTAGTATATTTTACTGTTGTTTAGAGGTTTTAGGTCCTCATAAATACGGCCTTCTTCCCTGACCACAAATAGGAAGGCGGAGCCTGGAGTTGTGGGAGGGGTTGCAACCGGCCTATATAAACTCACTACTTACCTCCATACCTTGCTGACAACGCTTGGTCACTTCCGGTTGCCCCACCCACCACACCACAAAAGAATCAATTAATTGGTTGGCCCTCTTTATTTACAGGCCAACCCGTACGTCGGTTTCGGCACACCACAACCGACTTAGTATATTTTACTGTTGTTTAGAGGTTTTAGGTCCTCATAAATACGGCCTTCTTCCCTGACCACAAATAGACATATATTATATCTATATAATATGTCTATATATCATATATATATAATGTTATACTAAGTGTATTTTTATATTAATATCTTCATGTATTAATATAAAAATACACTTATAATTAAATTACACACGTATATATATAATATATATAATAACTATATATATATTATATATATTATTATAAAATACAAATAAGTAGATTAAATTTAATAAAAAAATGTAAAATAATAATAAAAATGTAAAAAAAATTATATATCTATATGAAATTTTATTCTAACTATATTTTGATATTAAAATATATATGTTTATATCAAAATACACTTAGAATGAAATTGTGTATATATCTATATATAAATAAATAAAAATAATATGAAATATACATATGTCCATATACAAAATTACATAAATAATTATATAAATATACACGTAGACTTCAAATATATAAATATGCATATATATTTAAATTCTACGTGCGTATTTATGTAATATTTTTACATAATTAAGTAATTTTATTAATTGCAATTTGAGGGACCTGCCTGCCAACCCAGGCCAAAAGTCCAGAGAATTTAATTTGCTAGCACTGTATTTTACCCTGTAACTTTCTATGACACCCTAAAACCTGTACATGAGGGGTACCGTTATACTCGGGAGACTTTACTGAACACAAATATTAGTGACTCAAAACATTAAAACATATCACAGCGATGATATTGTCAGTGAAAGAGCCTTTATTTTTGCATTTTTCACACACAAACAGCACTTTTACTGATGATATAATTGTTGTGATACGTTTTCCTGTTTTGAAACACTAATATTTGTGTTCAGCAAAGTCTCCCGAGTATAACAGTACCCCCCATGTACAGCTTTTATAAAGTTACACGGTCAAATATATGGGTCAAATATTTTTACATTGAAAATGGCCAGTTTGGTTACGTTGCCTTTGAGAGCGTATGGTAGCCCTGGAATGAGAATTACCCCCATGATGGCATACCATTTGCAAAAGAAGACAACCCAAGGTATTGCAAATGGGGTATGTCCAGTCTTTTTTAGTAGCCACTTAGTCACAAACACTGGCTAAAATTAGCATTCAATTTAGTTTTTTGCTACTAGGTGGCTACTAAAAAAAACTGGACATACCCCATATTGAATACCCTGGGTTGTCTACTTTAAAAAAAATATGTACATGTGGGGTATTATTCAGAGATTTATGACAGATAATAGTGTTACAATGTCACTATTGATACATT